ATATATATATACACATGTTCATATGTATAATATATATATATATATACACAATATAATTACACACGTTGTCTTTATTATTATCCATATATATATATATAGATACACACACACATATATATATATATATATATATGTATATATATATATATATATAACACCTAATGCCGAAGACCCTTAACCCCCCTGAGGGAAGGGACCCCTGGGAGTCGTAAGGCTGGCAGGGACTCGAGGAAGCTGATTCGCATGTACAACAAGATGGCGAAGAAACTCGTGGAGTTTGAGACTCTCTGGGACCAGGCCGGGTTTAGGGTTTAGGGCTTAGGGGAGTCCAGGTTTAGGGTTTAGGGTTTACGGGTTTAGGTCTCTGAGGCCGATTTACGGCTTAGGGTTTAGGGTTTAGGCCCATTCGGTTTAGGTTTCACAAAGAGGTCTTGTTAATATAAACTTACAAACACTCTCTGGTACCAGGCCCCCTGGGTGTAGGTCCTACGAAGACGGCGGTCAGACAAACACGCTCTGGCGCCATGCGAATCCGGTTGAGTTTTGAGAGCTTTGGGTTCCAGGTTTACCGTCCAAAGCCTGCCGAATGGCATCGGATTGAACCCTAAACCCTCCAACCCCCTAGGATTGAACCCCAAACCCCCGAACCCCCTAGGATTGAACCCTAAACCCTCAAGCCCTAAACCCTAAACCCTAAACCCTTATGGAACCCGAAGAGGGCTTAGGTTTGATCAGGTTTTAGGGTTCAACCCTGTGGGGAGCTCGGGGTTGGTGGCTTTAGGAGTTTAGGGTTCAGGGTTTATAGGGTTTAGGGTTTAGGGTTTAGGGTCTAGGGTTCAGGGTTTAGGTCTAGGGTTTAGGGTTTAGGCATTAGAGTCAAGGCATCAGGGTTTAGGGTTTAGGGTTTAGGCAGTAGGGTTTAGCAAAGAAACAGAATTGCTCCTTCCTTCTCCCTCATGCACTGAGTTTCGTAGAGCATACCCCGAGGCAAGGCCATGTTCGAAGGACTACCTCCCCCCAAAAAAAGGTGGAATCTGGCAGAAGGGCGAGAAGTGCTGTCATTCCCTATAGTTTCCTCGCGGGGCCTGTTCAGAAGGAATTTGCAAAGTTGTGGCAGCTGGGGTAAACCCTGCGTTCCCAGCACCTGTGAAGCCTCCGGTAGACTCTGAAAGCTGCGTCTTGGCTAAGCTGGGATTCGAAGCGTAAGGGCTTCGAAGCAATGATGCTCTTGATGAGAATCATGACGATGACGATGATGATTATGTGGTGACGATGATGAGGAGGACGGTGATGCCGATGAACAGGATGTTTTTGAATGGTGACGGTGATGATGATGATGATGATGATGATGATGAGGGTTTTGATGATGATGATGATGACGATGAAAAGGATGCTTTTTGACTGCTGACGGGAATGATGATGATGAGGAGGAGGATGAGGATGATGATGCTGCTGATGATGATGATGATGATGGATGATGATGATGATGATGATGATGGATGATGTTGATGATGATGATGAGGATGAGGATGAGGATGAGGATGAGGATGAGGATGATGATGTGGATTTTGATGATTATGGCGACGAAAAGGATGCTTTTTGAATGCTGATGGTAGTGATGATGAGGATGAGGATGAGGATGAGGATGAGGATGAGGATGAGGATGAGGATGAGGATGAGGATGAGGATGAGGATGAGGATGAGGATGTTGTTGATGATGATGATGATGACGTTGATGATGCTGCTGATGAGGATGAGGATGATGGTGTTGGTGGTGGTGGTGGTGGTGGTGGCGATGATGGCGGTGATGTGCCATCGTTGATTCAACTGGTGTCTCCTTTTGTTTCGTCGTTGTTGTTCTAGTAATAATCATATCGACCTATGTAGTATTTCGAGTTTACAGCTGCTGTGCGGACCAGAATGGTTCATGATGATGCTTGTAGACACAGGCGTACCACGATGGCTCTCGAAGTCCACCAGCCAAGCACGTTTAGGCAAAGGTGTCCAGATTATGCTCCGATCCAGCACGCCGCTCCTGTGGTTCAAGCCGGCACGTTTGTGTTTTGGGCAGTCTGCGTTTGATACTGTATAGTGCTTTGCCCACACTGCCTGGTGGGTTTCAGGACTTGGCAGGTCGTAGGACCTGTAGACGGTTGACGTTCCGATACATGGAAGCGCAGACTTCGTCGGCCCTGCAGCTCACCGCTGTGACTGGAGGCAGCGGGTATTTGGGGCAAGCTGTGACGCGCCGGCTGCTTGAGCTCGACGTGCCCACTCGCATCATCGACACAAAGGTCCCCTCGCCGGACTTGGAAGGTGCGAAGTTCGCCCGATGCGACATCCGGGATCCTGTTAGCGTCGCCGGAGCGCTGCAGGGCGTGCAGACGGTGATACATGTGGCAGGTATCAAAATCAGGGTCCCCTTTTTAAGGTCCCCACTACAGTACCCCCAAAAACAGAGACTTATTTAGAGAACAATACCCATCTGGCAGGTATCATTGACATTCGTCGATGCTACCACCCTACGGCGAGCCGTGAGGTCAACGTGCAGGGCACGGCCAATGTCGTTCAGGCCGCTAGAGGTGCCGGAGTGAAGCGCATGGTCTATGTCTCGACCTCAAACGTTCTGATGGAAGAGAAGGAATCTTAGTTCCCCAGTACCCAACCTTTGAAACTTTTTGGGTTCTTATAATTTAGTAGTAATCTGAAAGTTTAAGCTTTTATTTCCTTGGCTTATTGGGGAAGTAAGGAATGCCTCGATATCGATGAGGAGACAGTCCCGCCGTGCCCATGCAATGAGTACAGCCGGACGAAGCTTGAAGCTGAGGCGCTGGTGCTCGCAGAGGTGGCTCGGGAAGATGGGCTCTTGGTCACCGTGCTCCGTCCCCCATGGATCTCGGGCCCCAAAAAAGCACATAAGCAAAAATCGTGATAGGGATATCCCATATAAGCCCCCTTATAATGAAGCTCAATAAGGCAAGTGTATCCCTATAAAATGCTTATGCTTATTTTCTCTTTGGGTTCCTAAGGATCTGGGGTCCCGGGGAGAGCAACTTCTGGGTGGCAGACAACCCGCTGCCTCTGGCCGTCCGCACAGGATACTGCAATGGCATCTACCTCCGTAATGCCGCGAATGTGCTGGTGCACGCTGCCGCGCAACTGAGAGATCGTAAATCTCCCTCCCATGGGCAGGCGCTCTTCATCAAAGACCCGACGAGCAAGTCCAGCAATGGCTTGCTGCATTGCCAGCTGCTATACCGGTGCAAGGTGGCTGGCCGGTCGGTTCCCGAAAACTTTGATATCCCCTTTTCAGTATTGCTGTGGGCCGCTTGGCTGACTGATCTTTTTTGCAGCATCGTGTGGCTGGTATTCAGGGTGCACCTTCAACGGGGTGACGGCTTCACACAGTCCCTGGGCCCTTGTTGGCTACAACTTCACATTTTTGCTATGATAAAGCCCAATACACGGATGAAAAATGATCATTTTCAATATAGCCCCAACACGGAACCAGGTACGCGATCTGGGCGGGCTTCGGGCACCACACTTTCTGCGACCGCAGGGCTCGCGATGTGTTGGGCCACTGGCCGGAGGCGGGTGCAAAGCCTAAAGTTGAAGAATAGACGGGCCTCAATAATTAGACTAAGGTTTTGGGGGGTTCCTTTAAAGGGTTCCTTAAAGGGTTCTATAAGGCCTACTATAAGGGTTTAGGGTGTAGGGGCCTTAGTAATTGGAATAGGGTTTGGGGGCTCCTCATTATAATTACAGT